CATTAAAGAGCAAGCGATCATGTTGAGAATAGTCCAGGCAAAGGCAGAAAGAGCCCAGCCAGGGGCTGGCAACTTTGGCCTTCAGTTTTCTGAGATATTAGGGTGCAGATAAGAGCACCTCCTCAGAGTCAGGAGCCAGTAGGAGAAAGGGGATGTGGATGCTTCCATCTGAGAAAGTCTTGGGGGCCAGGATGAACTAGAGTGCCCTCCTTCCCTCATCCCAGGAACTTGGCCTTTGGGGAGTTGGAAGTGAGAAAAGCCAAAGCCTTTTAGGGTTCTTGTACCTCAATAGGCTCCAGGCCAAAGGGAAGGGTCCCAGTGGGGCATGGCAGCTGCTCATTCACCTTGGCCGTGCACCATGAGCATGTGACTGGGGCATCCGCCTTCAGTTGTAGGAGCTACATGGAGCCTGCCGGAAGCAAGTGGACAGAGGCCACCCCTATGAGTGCCCATCCCAGATTTGTGGGCTGCCTTCCACAGAAGTGGCAGGAACACTTCTGGGAGGTGTCCAGATGCTTGTGTGAGCAGAGCCTGTCAAGTTAGATGAGCTGGAGCCAGACGAGGAAGATCAATCTTTCATTAAAATCTGAGGAAGAAATACTGCAGTGGGAGAGTTGGGGAGGGGGGATGTGTTGTGTTTTCTAATCTTTTTAACAAAGAAATTCATTAGTCTCTCAAGGAAAGTACACAGTTCTTGCACATATGTATGTCTGTTTTTCCCACAAAACTTTTCCTGGAGGCAAATAGGTTTCTTTGGAAACTTTAGAATTTTTAGAAATTTTGTATCTCAAGCCTGGAGGTTGGAGGGGCACCAAGGGTGAGTTTTGAGTTTTGAGTCACAGAAGCCAAAATCTAGGCAGGGCTCTGCTGCCTTGTCAGAGCCGGGCAGTGGTGTGTGAGAGCACTCTTGGAAAGGATCATAGCAAGAGAGTAGCCATTAAGTTTTTAGGAGTTTGTAAGCCAGCTGCTAAACACAGACACTATTTTAAAACACACAAATTTACAGTTAAATAAATTATACTAAAAACAAAGGACTGGGTGTGGTGGCTCTCACCCATAGTCCCAGATACTTGGGAGGCTGAGGCAGGGAGGATCCCTAGAGGCCAGGAGTTCGAAAGCAGCCTGGGCAATATAGCAAGAAAACAGAAAATACTCAAAACTCATCACTTCTTATTTTAGTGTTATCCATGGTGTGAAGGTTATTATTTAAGTATTGTAAATGATGAAGGAAAAACTGTATAACACCTGCTGCCTTCAGTGAAGTTATGTTGGCAACTTGAAATTGGCCATGGAAGTAGCATTTATGCCACAAAACTTGAAAAACCAGGGCCCACTTTCACCTGCCCCCTTTTTGTTAAGATTGTCTGTTAAGGCCGGGCACTGTGGCTCATGCCTGTCATCCTAGCACTCTGGGGTCTGAGATAGGAGGATCATTTGAGCTGAGCAGTTCGAGACCAGCCTGAGCAAGAGCGAGACCCCGTCTCTACTAAAAAAGATAGAAATAAATTAGCTGGACAACTAAAAATATATAGAAAAAATTAGCTGAGTATGGTGGTACATGCCTATAGTTCCAGCTACTCAGGAGCCTGAGGCAGGAGGATCACTTGAGCCCAGGAGTTTAGGTTGCTGTGAGCTGGGCTGATGCCACGGCACTGTAGCTTGGGCAACAGAGTGAGACTCTGTCTCCAAAAAAAATATCTATTAGACACTTGCCAGTACACTATGGCACACCACGGAGCCCACCGTGCCTGAGCCACAGGACTTCTCTCTCAGCGGCTGGGTGTCTGGGCACAGCAAACCAGGAGCAGTGTGGTTTCTGTACCCCATGCTGCATGGAGACCCACAGGGTGACAGTCTTGGCCTCTCTGTTAGGCAATGACTTTGCCTCAGGACAAGGGAGTTGTCAATCCTACTTGCCCACCGCCAGGTGGGGGCACCAGGGTGGCTGTCCTGGGTGGTGGGGCCAGTATGACCCTCGCTGACTATGGGGTGGACACTTGGTTGGTTTCATTAACAGTCAGCATGTGCTGGGCCATAATGCTCTCCAGCAGGTGCAGGTGAGCTGGCCCAGCTGCTTCACTCCAGGCACCACCTGCGTTGTTTTAGGGCCACGAACCTGCTGCCAGGCCCACCTGGGGCATCCTGCACTGGCCCCCAGCCCCTCCTATACTCAAGTCATCCGCTTCATGTGGCTGTCAAGGTGCTTGGGGGGAAGGTGTGAACTGCGCAGGGCCAGGTGCAGGGACACAGGAGCAGGCAGCAGGCACCCGAGTGAGGCCTGACCTGGTTTGGCCTGAGGGTGTGGAGTGGAGCTTCTGCTGGGACTGCATGATCAGAGCCTGAGCCAGTGGTCTCACTGCAGGGTGCAGTGAGACCCTGGGTGCAAATGAGAAGGGGGTGCAGGTGTGGCGGCCCCGTGGCTCCTGGGCAGGCCCCACTGCATAGGCACCTCATGGCAGGCACACCCAGCACCCCCCAAGCTCAGTGCCTCCGTTGACTTGAGAGCAAAACCTGTGGCTGCCCGAAGTGGAGGAGCTACCTTGGGGAGTACGGGGAGGCACTTGCCCACCACACCCGACGCCAGCACTGGAGGGGTAGTGACTGTGTACCTGCCTGCTTGGGTTCCGCCTGTGGGTCCTCTCTGGGGCTGGCAATACAGCGTGACCCCTGTCCCCTCCCCAGGGCTAGTGTGACCTCTATCCCCAGGTGAGAGCCATGGGCTCCCAGCAGTGCAGAGGGACCCCCAGTGAAGAGAATGGGGAGCTATGGCCCCTCCTCTGCTCACCACACTCACCACTCATGTCTGGGCTGGGAACCGTCTGACTGAAGCCCACCCTGCCTACCCCCGCATCCAGCCTGAGCCCCCAGGAGGGGGAGCTGAAGCCCCTGTGCAGGTAAGGGACTTAGGTTCCAGGTCCCAGAGCTCAAGGGCACCCCAGGCTGGCCGAGGTGACAGCAGCAGCATCTGCCCCACCCCCTCACTGGCTCTTGGGGCAGTTCTGCGGCCCTTGTGGCCCACAAGCACCTGCCAGCCCTCTCAGGCGCAGCTCTGATGCTCACTCCAAAGCCCTCCTGGCTGGCGAGACAAGCACACGACCACCCGCCTTGGGCCACCTGTCAGTTGCTGGGAAACAGGAGGGTGGGCCTCAGGCCAGGCTGTGGCCGGCTGGGCCATGTGCAGGCAGAGGTGCCCTTACGGGGCGGGATCAGCCTCCGGCGCAGGAAGCCAGGACCGCCGCCACAGCCACAGACTATAAGGGTCTGAGGACACTGTCCTGCTGCTGTGTCTTCTGAATCACGTCCGCTATGCCAGTCTCTCCCTCAGCACTGCTGACACTTAGGGGACAACTGGTTGCCATCCTGTGTGCTCACTCGGGTGCGGGTGTTGAGCCGCACCCCATCCCCGGCCTGCACCCGCTAGATGCTGTGGCATCCCCCCTTCCACCTGTCACGAACAAAAATGTCTCCAGACATCACCAGATGTGCCCTGGGGGCAAAATGCTTACATGTTCCCAGCCCTGACCCTCCACCGCATGCTCCTGGCCTGGCCCCCATCACTATTTTCCCCAGATCAGTTCCCAGGAGCTGACATAGTGAGGACTGTCCCCTGGGGCAGGCCACCTGTCCCGGCAATCTCCCCGGGGCTGGGAGGACAGGTAGAAAGGGGCCAGCCGTCTCATGGAGGGACCCGGCCGAGCTTGACTTTCAGGACACCCCAAATCTTGGTGTCAACCTCGATGCTCCCCAGGGAAGACCTTTCACCTAGGAGAGAGGCGCAAACCTGTGACCCCAGGTCCAGAGGGAGCTCTGCAGAGTGAGCTGCAGCCGTGGGAAGAGGCAAGCAGGAGTCTCACATCAGGGACCACTGGAGGCAGCCATCCCGTGCCCCAACTCAAGCCAGCCAGTCTCCAGCTGGGGCCACCAGGGAGCCCCACCTCCAGGTCCAGCCCTGGAATCTCATCACGCTACAGGTGGCCTCCACTGGGGACTCCACCCCTGCCCCCCCACACGAGCACCTGGCCTGGAGCCCTGTGCAGCACACTTGGAGGGGCAGGGCCCCGTGCTGTGTGAGGCCTCAGCACCTCGGCCCCTCCCTCAGGGAGCTGGGCCCCGGAACTGGCCAAGCCAGCTCTGCACATGCTGCTCCAGGGGCACAAACCCGTCTTCCTCTCCCCGACCCCAGCCTGCACAGAAGCCACAGAGCAAAGGCACCCTTACATCCCAAGCCCAGCAGGGGCACTAACCCCTCAGGAGGACGCTGTGCTTTTAGAGTAGGGCCTGCCCAGGTGGGCCAGGGACTCTAGTGGGGCCCAGCCATGTGCCAGCAGCTGGCCGGACAAGGTAGATGGCATGGGCAGGTCATCTGCCAGGCCACACTTGCCTTGCTCAGCACCCGTAGCTCAGGGGCCAAGAAGTCACAGGCAGAGAGCACCCCTAGTCTGGCCCTACCTCTACTACTGCTCTCAGGGCCTGGAGTGCAGCCCAGGGGTCCCTGCTCTAAGTACCCACCATCCTGGCAGGACATGGGGGTAGAACAAAGAAACCACTACCCCTGCTTCAAAGAGTACAATGGCATTGAAGGGGCTGGGTGGTGCTAAGGTGGCTAGGCAGGTGCCTGGGGTGGTGTAGGCCCCTCTCCCTGGGGGCTGACACCCCATAAAAGGCAAGGGGGATGGGCCTGTCCCATGGAACAGCACCCAGATCCAGCCCTGGAAAGGAGGGAGCAGCAGGGGTGATTAGGACCCCCCCACCCCCGGTCAGACAAGAACCACCAGCACTGCCCCGAAAGAGCCCCATGGAGTAACGTGGTTTCCAAACCTTCCCACCCGCTGCCCCCAAGACGCAGCCTGTCATTTCGCCAGGCGAGCCAGGCCTGAGAGTAACAGAGGGAGCGGGGCCAGCAGCTCAGATGTGCGTGAGGCCAGGAAGCTACTGTGCACTCCAGCACTCACGCAAGCAGCAAGCACACGACAAGCTACAAATCTTTGTCCTCCCAAATGTCCTGAGCAGAGTTGTGTTTATTCAACCACATAAAATGCATATATAGGAAACTTCTCTAGGAGCTGGTGGCCTGCACTCAGCATTGCACAGATAAAAATATACGACTTTCAACACAGATCTAAATACGTTCACAGTTAAAAAATCAGAATTCTCTACGCAAGTTTTAAGCTGACAGAATTCAAGTTCTGACTTTTCATATATAGCTTTAACTTGTTTTAAACACATGTTTATTTACAACATGGACAGAGAATAAGGCCATTTTTCTCACTGTGAAACACTGCAAAATATGTACATAGTACAACCTAATATAGGCAGAGGTTCTAAAAATCATCCTTCTTGGCTTAACGTAATTGAGCACTGGTGGGGGTGGGGAGGTGGCTGCCGACAGATAGCACCAGGCCACGCCACGGGCCGTGTGGGTCTGCTCGTCCACCGAGCTGCCACAGGGCTCCTGCCGAGGTGGGACAGGTGTGTGCTGAGCCCCAGGCCAGCCTGAAGCGCACCTCGCCGTCCCCTCAATTCCACTTCCAAATTCATCTCAGAGTCTGGCCATACACCAGTTCCAGAAAGAATCGTGCCGCAGGGCCACTCGACCACGATGTGCACGACAGGGAGGGTCCGAGGGCAGCCGCCAGACAGGCAAGCCAAGGGGAAGGGGCCCGTGCCTGCCAGTCAGCAGGACCCCGCCTCACCTCCGGTGCCTGCTGTGCCCAGGGTGGTCCCGCTCGTAGCGATGGCCCGTGCGGTCGTACGACCTCGAGCGTTCCCGCGGCTGGTCTCTAGAGTAATGACTTTTCTTCTTGTATTTTCCAGAATTCTCTGCCCGCTCCCGTGACCGGCTCCGAGAGCGGGAGGAGCTCCGGCTCCGAGATTTGTGTGGCTTCTGAGCGGGATACTTGTAGTCCTTGGACTTCCGGGAGCCCCTCACTTCAGAGCCTTTGTAGGGAGCGCCGCGGTGTGCCTGTCGCGGTGGGGAGTCGCTCCGGCTCCGAGAACGGCTCTGTGACTTGGACCCGCCAGACATTGAGCCACTGTCGCTTTTCCTGTGAGGAAGGACAGCACCACCACACGTGACTACCTGTCACCAGCCCTGAGCCTCCACCTCCCTGACCACAGGCCCTGACACACACACGGGCTCACAGAGGCAAGAGCTCCAGGTTTGGAGAAGCAAGGAACCATCTCAGTAAGAACCACTGTCCTCAAGGGTAGCCACGTCACCTCCTGCCACCTGGGGAGAACACCAAGGCACATACCTCCTCTTGGGAGAAGCAGATCGTGATGGGGACCTCGAGTAGCTCTGCTCACAGCTCCTGCTCCGACTTCGACTCTCTCGCCCCTTTGGCAAGCTGTCAACAGGACAGGAGCCGGTTATAGACCTGGAGTCTCTCCAACAACCCTGCCGGCCACCCAGGCAGCTCTGGATGCCTTACCCGTTAACGGGGCTGTCAGCCTTGGCTTTCTTCACGCCCTCCGCTCTCCTCTTAGTACTCTTCACAGAGAGCGGCGAAGCCTTGTTCCCTTTGCCTTCTTTGGGTGATTCTACTAGAATCAAGTACAAGAAGTTAATAACAAAAACCTTATTTCTTCTGGTAAGAAGTAAGTTAGCAGAGTGAGCTAAGGCCACGTGTACAGGTCTGAACTTCCTGCCACTGGCCTGGGATGCATCACAGGCACGCACAAGGGCCCTGTACCCTGCTCACCTTTCCTCAGGGACTGGGCAGTGCGCACCAGACTTACCTCTAGGGTCCGATAATACAATCTGTTGCCCCAGATTGTAAAATCTGTATCTAATGACAAGCTAACTGAGTAAGTAGGGTAAACAAAAGCATTTTAGAAAGCCTGTCCATCCCTCACTAATGAAAATACACAGACAAAATGCCCTCGGGGCCCCAGTGTCTCATTTCAAAGAAAACCAGCAGGTGGGACGCCAGTGCCTGGGGGGCACTCTGACAAACTATGGGTTCAAGTTCAAGAGAAATCCAGCAGGAAGGAGCACAAAAGCTCCAGAGGGTCACCAACCTTCACCCTGTGGGGAGCGGACTCCTGCACCCTGACACTCACCGAGCTTGGGGGCAGGGGAGAACCCGGACGTGCTGTCCAGAACCTGCGTGCCCCCGGGCAGCAGGCCCCTGGCCTGCGCCTTTGCCTCCTCGATGGCGTGTTTCCTCTTCTCCACCTCACCTTCCAAGTGTGTCAGATCAACCTGCACAAACCAGAGTCCGTCCACTTAGCACAGAGGCTTCTGATCAAAGGCAGGTGCGTACATGACAGGAAAAAACATAGAAGAACCTTTTTCCGTGTATAAAGCTGCAGAATTTTTAAGCAGATTTCTTGAATTTCTTCTTCAGTTGCTCCGAACAAAAGAAACCAATGGGGACGACTGGGCAGAGGGATCTGTAAACACAAACACTCACTGTCACACTTTTCTCAACAGCAATGTGGCCAGCAAGACCCGTCACGGCAATAAAAACAGCCTGCTGGCCACCAAGAAGTTTCAGCACAGGTAAGCACAGTTGGAAGCAAATGACACCAGAGTTTACTGTGGGCTGGGGCAAGGGTCAGACTGGAGTTCTCTCACGGTGGCCACACACTGACCTCCAGCGTCCGGGCGGCGAGATAGATGCAGGCACAGGCAATGCTTTCGGGCTGGAACCGCACAAACACGTCGGTGCGAAGGCTGTCGTTCATGTAATTCCTGAAAACCAAGCGCAAGAGGAACTGCAATGCCCTCCGGCACTCTGGGACATCCATCTGCATTATCTAAAGTCACTACTCCTCTAAGTTGTCTAATGATAGGACTCAGAGCTAGACAGTCCTGTGAATCTCAAGAGTTAATGGAGGAACATTCTAGCTGCTTTTTCTGAATCAGGACAGGAAAGCAGAGAAATTATTGGAAAAAAAAAAAAAGAGGCTGGCTGATGTCAGACAATACGTGTTGCTATGAAAGAGAACCGATTTTAACTTTACTTTTCCCCCTCAACTTTTGGCCTGCTCCCATGCAAAGCACAATACCTCAGAAAGAAAATGTCTACTGTAGTGGTTAAAATGTATCTGATTAAAGAAATCTAAATGCTCAAAATCCATAGTGCAGAGAAACATGCAAACTCAAATGAACTGGCTGAGCACGAAGCCTGCACGGCTGCTGTGAGACAGGCTGTCCTCTTGAGTTCCTTGTCCTCGAAGAGAGCTCACGGCCTGGCCCTTCTCTGGACGACCGAGCTGCAGCTTCCACGAGGGAGTCCACTTGGAAAAGGGAAAAACAGCCCTGGGTGCAATTCAGATGCACAGCACGGCATGCGGAGGAGGCTCAGTTCCCACAGGGAAGTCCTCTTCTCGGCTTAGCAAAGAATCGTTTCCAAATTGTCCCATTGCAACAAGGAGTCTTAAAACGAACATTCATAAAATCAGACAAAGCAACAAAATACTAAAAGTTTCATCACAATTAGTACATTTAGAAAACTTTATCATATTTAGAAAATATAAAAATTTTCATTTTTATAAAATTAAAAGGTTTTTAAACTGGCTACATTTTTAGCATTTTTCTTTGGATATATTTCTCTAAGATTTAATAGACTAAAATCAGACCTCATATTGTCTTTATCAATATTGCAAAAACAGAAGATTAATTCCATGAGGAAACAGGTACAGGTTATATGGTCACTACTCCTCACACACCCCAATAGTGGTGAGCCGTGGAGTCAGGCTGCAACCAAGGCAATGCAAGTCAGACTGTGACTGGACTTATCCCCCCACCCTGCCCCTGTATCTTTACCTTAAATAAAACCTGGAGAAAGTGACATACAGACCCACTCAGATTTCTAAACGATAAATTCTACAGGTGCCTCCTAGAGGTACCTGGTTCTGGAAGCTCTTGCTCCAGGCAACAGAAGGAAGCCGGTGTGATGGCCCAGTGGCCACACGTCCCAGCAACGACTTTGCAAGTGAACACACAGGGATAAACTTAACCAACAGTAACATTTTTTGTTTCTAATAAAAAATTTTCAGTATTCAAGTAGTAATAATATTAATCCATTAACTTTTAAATCTTAAAACAAATGAAATCCTCAAAACATATTTAAACTTATTGCTAATATTTAAATTAAGTTACAGCATTTTTAAAAGTGTCCATGGAATAATTTAAAGATGCATACCTTTTACTAGAATGTGTCAAGCTTAGCTGCTGAAAAGAGCAACTTTAGGACTTCCAGAAATAATGACATAATCCCACATTGACAGTCTGAATTCCCATCAGCCAATTCACTTCAATTCTTACAACTTTCCATAGAATTTTTTAAAAAGAGAAAGGTACTGCATCTTTATGGTATAGGTACAGCAGTTTTAAAGGAACAAAATTCAAGTCAAGACAGTTATCAACTCTAATCAATACAATTACCAAAGCACAACAGAGGATTAACAAGAAGCACAATCGTCAGAACCACAAGCAGCAGTCGGCCATGACTATGCTATCGAACGCATACCACCAGTCTAGAGCCAGCCTTCGATGGAGAGCCTGCACTGGATTGGCTGAAGACGGCCGCTGTCCCTGCACCAAAGCGCTTGGACAGCAGAGGAGAAGTCTTAGTCACTTACCCTCAGAGGCTACCCTTTGATTGAAAGAGTACAGAAAAGGAAAGTCAAAATAGGTTCTCTGTTAAACACGTCATAGCACCAGACAATTCAGTCAGCAACATTAAGACCCTTACAGACTTAACTCCGTGGGAAAAACTCACTTAGACACCCAAACGCTAACTTGCACTTCGGGCTTCATTTCTAGCACATACATGCATTGTTAAAATCAGCCCCAGAATTGCAGCAAAACTTCCTCCCCACCTCTCTCCCAAGGGATGTAATTTCACGGGAGATATGATAGCACTAGGTCTAAATTATCACCTGTCACCTTTGACTTCCCTGGGGAAGATCCAACTGTGCGAAATCAACAGCCCCCACAGGGAAGACTGCGGACTGTTTGAGGGTTGGGGGACATAGGAAAGCCAGAGTTATGGGGAGGAGATGGGCCACCTACCGTTATGCCAGTGCCTGACACTTTGGGAGTCTGACTGGAATTTACGCAACAGGAACACTGGGCACTTGGACAACTCCAGCCCACAACCAAGTCATGGGACCGACTACCCACTGCCCAAGTGCCTCACATCAACACATTCCTGCACTGCCCTTGCTGGTCTCATAAAACAAGGAAGGTCAACTCACCATGAGGTCTGGACCAGGTGTTGGTTACGCTCACACTCTAACACCTGAAGGTACATAACGATTATCTGGAAGATATGGGTCAGGCAGTTATTACCAAGAACCTCAAGAGCCCAGAATTCAGATCTTGTGGGTGTCCATGCAGCAAATAAGAGCCTCATGCTAGATCCCAGGGGTGGCTCCTGGTCACATATCTGGCGGATGGCTCAGCTGGAGGGGAAGCTTTTGCTGATTCACCCACTGCCTGCTTTTGTAGCAGGCAGCATGCATGCCTGTGCAGCCCGAGCTGCACACCCCATGGCACAGAAGGCCTAGTTCTTCACCGGGCTGATTTGCATTCTTGTCTTCAACACCTTTCCACCAGTGAGGTTAGCCTGCCCTAAACATCTCTGCACCCCAGTTACCAACTCAAACAGAACACAGTGTGAAAATACTTTCAGCAAATGAAGAAAAGCACTTAAATTGGTGACAGATAATTTAACAAGAATTTGAATTCATGCTAGAAAGGCTAACAAGCAAGAGAGAAGATATGAGGAAACCCAGCAATTAAAAGGGAATGAAACCAAAATGCAAATAATAATCTTTTTTGTAAAACAAGTTTTTAAGTGTAACATAGAAGATGTAAACTTAAAGTAAACCTAAAGTACAATAGCCATGCTCCTCAATCAACAAATGCTACAAAACTGCTTTAGTTCATTTCAGAGTAAAAGGGTTTAGAACTCTTCCAATGTTCCGTAAGAGGAAGTAAGACTGTTACTAAAGCAACTTTAGAAAATCAGCTGTTGAGAAAGAAAAATGTATACTAACAGATTCAATTTTTACAAGTTTACACTGTTTCTGAAAGCCTAAACTTAAAAGATGCCATTTACAAAGCTCTTAAAAATGTTACTAAGATTAACAGATACCGGAAGCCTATTGAATCAAAAATCGTTTTGAGATTATGGAGGTAAACCGGAAAAGCAAGGAAAGGACGCACTCAATACTCTTCAGAGCCTTCCCGTACTGAGATGGCGAGAGGTGGCCAGGCTGAGACAGTGGCCTGGGGGACCCCCGGAGGGCAGGCACATACCCACCTTGTGAGGATGTTTCACGTGGACGCAGAAACCCAGCTCTTTGAGAACTCGTCTTTCTGCCTTTATAATTTGGTTCTTTAAGTTAACATAATCTTGATCCAGCAGTAAAGGGACAGGTTTCCTACAAAGATAAAGTATGTGGTCCACATGAGGGTCAAACAAAACAAGGTCTTTCAAGTCCCTCAATTCCCTCCAGATGGTGAGAATCTAATATAAACACAACAGAGACATCACTACCAAGTTCACTTCCTTTAACTAACAAAATTCCAAAATACTCCTCACACCCCAACTCGAACCTACTCATCCTTTCTCGATAATCTTTGCCCCTTTTCCTTACAAACAAACATCTCTCTGGTGCACAGACATGGACTGAAAACAAAAGGGTCTTAGGATTTCACTGCACAAGTGCTCAATGCTCTTTGTCTGGCTCGCAATACAAGGGCATGTGTTTGAGGGAAATGGGTAAGCAGAGAACCAACGAAAGCATAATATTTAAAATAGACAAGACTGTGTTTTCCAAAGGAATTCCATTAATTTAACCACTTCAGTACGGTGCTCAACGGCAGCGAAACCTTGCCCACAGCCGGCACTCATAGTCCTCACAATAGTTTGTGCTGTGCATTGACGACGAATCTGTTTTGCTCTTGTGTGATGAGGAAAGCTTTAAAGCACTGAAAGCTTGTTTTACTTTACAGGCAGCTTTACTTGTAAATCAGAATAGGTAACATATACATGTATGTTTTCATTGTGTTATTTTTAAATGTTCACAATTTTATTTTGATAAATGAAAAATTAGAAAAGTCTTATCACAGTTGTTGGCTAAAGTTGACGCTCATACCTAAGTGGTTAAGGAGCATAAAGTCTGGGCTAAGGTCTAGGGCAGTGGCTCTTAACCAGGGCACTTTTGCCATCCCAGGGCCAGGAGACAATGTCTAGAGACATTTCTAGCTGCCACAACTGAGGAAGAGCGCTCCTAGCACCTGGTGAGTAGAGGAAGGTGATGCTGCTAAACATCCTACAATACACAGGACTACCCACCACAACTGAGAATGATCCAGCCCCAAAGTCAACGGTGCTGAGATTGAGAACCCCAGCTCTAGAGCATTCGGAAACATGTGGGGAACAAGTAACGACAGGGCTGTGAGCTGACATGGGCAAAGCAGGAAACCAATACCAGCAAGGCTGGGGTCCCATCCCTCACTAGACAGTATCTGCTGGGTACCTCCTGGGCAGGCCGTGTTCTGGGTGATTGTGAATACATTAATGAACATTCCACAAGCTTAAAACCTCACATCCTAAATTTTGTTATAGCAATGTTATCATAACTTGATAACCACAAAGAAACAAGACAGATGTTTACAATGGCTCTAACAAAGACTTACTTTTTCTCTCTCAGCTGTCGAAGTCGATGAAACACATTGATGACATCCCGTATGCGTCTTGGAGCTTCTTCTATTTTGGAAGCCAGGTGAACACAGGCCATTGACACATGCTGAAATGTAAGCATTGCAACAAATGGATGTTTGTTCCAATCCTGACAGCCTCCAAAAGCTTAACTGCTACTAAAACCTAAGGGGAGATCCGCCCAGAGGGAAAGGAGGAGGAGAAACAGCACTCTGCAGCACAGACTACTTCCAAGATCCTCCAATACAGAGCTCAGACTAGGGGGCAGGTACTATGTCCTCTGAGCAACTGGCAAAACAATAAACCCAGATTTCCTCTGAATATATTTCCTTGAGAATAAGCCCTTACCTCCATGGAATGCTTCACAAAGGACTTGGTATAAAAGAACCGCTGGAACAGCACCTGCCCGGTAGCCATGGCCACCTAGAAAAAAGGAAAATTTCCATCATTTTTCGTCTCCATCACTCAAGACCTTGGCAGTTAGAAAGCAGCGGGTTACCCGGGACTCCCCACACAGAGCCCAACACTAAGACGTTTTCCACGTCCCCAAAGGGCTCTTCGAGTCCCGCCGCCCCGAGGCCCTGGCCGCGGGGGGACAGGACGGCGGGGACCCGCGGCTGGGTCGGGGTGGGGCCGGCGGCCGTGGCCCGGGTGGCGCGGGCCCGGCCTCGCCGCCAACAAAAGGCCCGCCGCCTCCCGGCGCCGGCGCGGCGGTTACTGCGGCCGGGGGCTCGCGGCCGCGCCCTCACCTGCGGCAGACGGAGCAGGATGCCGGCCGCCTGGATGAGCTCGCAACCCACAACGCGGAGGTCGGTCTCCGTGTCGGTGTCGAGGCCGCTCGACATGGACGGCGTGAAGCGGAGCTTGTCGTCAGGCAGAAGGCAGTTCTCCAAGGTGATGAGCACCCCGGAGTACAGCCTGTCCCCGATCAGCACCCCCTGCGACCCGGGGGCTGCGCTCCCCAAGCCCGGGGCGCTGGCCGCTGCCGCTGGAGCCGCCGGCCCCGGAGCCCCGGCCGCCGCTGCCGCCGCCGCCATTTTGTGCCGCCGACTCCCCTTCTGCTCCTTCCCGCAGGGCGGCACCTCGCGACGCACGGCGGCCGCGACGGCCCCGCCCCGCCCCGCGCCATTGGTTGGAACCACGGGCGGCCCGACGCCGCCTTGTGGCGATTGGCTTTGCTGCCTGTCCATCAGCGACGCACACCACGCCGTCGCTGGAACCCAGCAGGCTCCGCGGCCCGGCCCGACCCGGAAGCGCATCTGCCCGGAGCGGTGAGCGGCTGCGGAGTGCGCGGGGTCGGGTTGGAGGTTCTGCTCGCCTGGCGGCTCCGCTCGCCTGGCCCTGCAGGGTGGTCAGAGCAGTGGGGCGACGCGCTGGGTAAGTGTCCCCAGCCGCTGTCGGCGTCATTGTTCTTCGGTGCTCACTAACTCCGGGCTTTGGGATGCACGTTAACATCAGACTCCCCCAAGTTCTTGCCTTCAAAACTTCGGGCACAGGGAAGAGAGATGGGTAAAGGGTTCTGTGTTCCTCCAGGGCCGGGCAGCGCGCTGAAAGGCCGAAGTCCCTCAAGGTTCAGGCCCGCGAATGGGGATGGAGGAGAGAGGCCCGGGGCGCTGTGTGGGAAGGGGTTTGGACATAGCCCTGCAAACAGCAGGGAGCCATTGAAGGGTTTTATGCATATGTGAACGTCTCTGGACTTGAGTGACCCTGTGTCCGGGCGAACACGGGCCCTGCCCGTTATGCTGCTCTCCCAGCTTTGCAGAAGGCACAGACGCGGGACTTAACCTGTCGCTGCAGTTCACACTTTCACCAGGGCTAGCACTGGGCTTCAGGTGAGGATGGTGGGGAAACTGACAGGGAGGAGCTTGAGACACTCTGAGCTGCTCCTGACTACCCAGCTCAAACCGGCTCAAATCCAGAGGCCAGTTGGCTTTCACCCTCCGAGTCCTGCTGTGAGGCTGACCCTGGCAAGGCTTGATCCAGCATCTCGAACAGTGTCACTGAGAACCAGTCTCTCCTCTCCCCTTCGCCTGCCATGGGCAGTGTGGTTACAGCCACCCATCTCCTCTCCCCAAGGCTGGCAGCTCCAGTGTATCCTCTCTGTGAGCTACAGCTGCACACTGTCCAGGAAGGAATGTTCTCTGGAAACCACCACACGGCTGGTTTCTCCTTATCCCTGCCCATCCCCTAATCTATGGCCAGAGGCATGGGACTTGGGAAATCCTCCTGCTCTCTGGCCAATCAGGGCCAGGCCTTATAGCTGGGGAGGGGTCTTTGTACTCCCTCCCACGGCAGCACGAAGGGAAACCTGGACTGGAGGAGTGGCCCACAGTGGTCTGCCACACCCATCTTCCTTTATTGAGAGGGAATAAGAAAAGGCAGCACACCATGCTCAGACCCAGGTCCCACACACCAGAGGGCTCCTTGTCCTCTACCTTGTCTACTCAGTAGCTACTTATTGACAGTTGACGTGCATTAAACACCCTGTGCACACAGCCAGGTACTGCACTCAGTGCAGCAGAAAAGACTGAACAAGACTCAGCCCCCTCCGAATGCTTATGACATAGTGGCCATCCTTAGGCTCAGTGACAGTGGCCAGGAAGAGGGGCCTCTGAGGAGGCCGTGCACCGGAGTAAGTGGTCAGGTTGAAGCAATCTCTAGGAGATGCGTGGCTAGGACTTGAAATGTTCTGCATGGGGTGGGAGGTGGGTGTTGAGTCTGAAGAATGGCTCCTAGGCAGCTGCTGGCAGAGGATGAAGGATGGTGCCAGCACAGGGCAGTGTGGCTGCTTTGGGAGGGGAGAAAGGCACTCAATGTGGGAGCCCCTGCAGGACACCTGGTCCAGGGCTGGGGGTGCACTTTGCACGAATGTGGGAGGCATCAGCAAGCAGATGGGATAGGTATCCATGCAGTCTATTGGGTGTATTCCAGTTCCAGGAGATCACTTTGGTGAGAGCTGTTGGGGCATGGTGGGATTAACTGTGGACACCAAGAATGAGGCAGAAGAGAAGAGACCCCAGAGCTAGAGAGGGGGCTCCACATGGGAATGGCTTTGGGTGGAGTCAGGTCTCCAAGAGGGCTGGGAGACCTGGCCCTGGGCAGTTGAGAGGACACACTGTGCACTGCAGGGGGTGTGTGTCTGGCAGAGAATTGATAGAGGTCCTGTGGCTTGCTGAAAACATGTTCCTGGACTTAATGGAGGGGACTGTTAGCTGTTAAAAGACTTCCCCAGGTGACCTGTTGGAAAAGTCAACCCAATCTGCAGGGACAGAAGGGAGGCTGGGAACAGAAGCACTGCCTGCCGGGCTGTGGAGTATGTAAGGGAGACAGCATGGAAACAGGCTGGTGTTCACTGAGGCAGAAGGGCTGAGCCACAGGGTCCCTGATGGACACAAGAAAGAGACCAGGGGAAGGTGGAGGGTGAGGTCAGCCCTAGGCAGGGTCAAAGTAGGCAATGGGGCATTTGGGGTCTAGCAGGGAACTGGGGAGCAGGGTGTTGGACAAGCCAATCCGTAGAGCCCTTGAGGGTCAGAAGCCTGGGGCAAATTCCCAAATTTGCAGAAGGAAGGGGCAGGCTCAGTCGCATCCACCAACCAGGGACCCCTCACCCCAGCGGCCTCTCCCATACCATGCGACTGGATGGCGGGCATGTGGGCACCTCAGAGGCAGAGCACACCCAAGGTGTGTTTGCTTGACACCAGAAAACAACTCACAAAGCCAAACGCCCCACAACTTTATTGGCACAATCTACTGGAGACAGTCCTGTGAATCTGTCCCATTGAGAGAAGACAAGGCCTTCTCATGCCTCTTCCTGATATGTAAATAAAATTACAAATCAAACTTACAAACTGCCGACTAAATAATTACTTTGCTGTTATTTTTGTCATGATCATCAGGGGAAAAGGCCCTCCTCCTAACGTGCACAGCGGCACCAGCAACCGCTCAGTGGTACCGCTCAGTGGTACCGCACCACTCTGGAAAAGATGCCTTCAGGCTCCTTCCCGTCCCCCAAGGCCGCAGCAAATCCTTCCTGTCGCCTTCTTTTGGCCAGAGCAGCCAAAGATTTGAAAGTCTTTGGTTCGTAGATAGCCAGATCTGCAAGCACCCTCCTGTTGAGCTCCACCTGGCACTGGGGAAAGTCAGAGCCTGCAGTCAGCATCAGAAATGAGCTTCAGGAAGGTCCTATGCTGGGTGGGGTAAGGAGAATGCAGCTGTGGTGGCTCACGCCTATAATCCTAGCACTTTGGGAGGTCGAGGCAGGTGGATCGCTTGAGGCCAGTAGTTTGAGACCAGCCTGGGCAACAAAGCAAGACCCCCATATCTACAAAAATAAAAAATTAGCTGAGGCAGGAAGATTGCTTGAGCTTAGGAGTTTGAGGTTGCAGTGAGCCATGATGATGCCACTGCATTCCAGCCTGGGTAACAGAGCAAGACCCTTAAAAAAAAAAAAAAAAAGAATGCAGCCCAGAGTCCCATGGTCTGAGTGGCCTTCCTCAACACACTCTGGGTGACTCCAAGCAAGTATCTGCTCTCCTGGAGGCCTGTTAATACTGCGTGGGAGGAGACAGGAGGAGCCTCTCTGGCTGACTCAGAAGACTTCCAAGCAGGACACTGAAGGATAAATGTGGACGGGGTGAGGGAGGGCACCTGAGTAATCTGTGTGATCTGGGAGAGGTGGCTAGAGTCTGGTGCCTCTGCCAGCCATGGAACCAAAGGCCTTGGTTAGGGACAATGGTCATCATTAGGATGGAGCCAAGACTCCTGGCCTGGAGTAAACCAATTCAGAAGTTCCCACAAGACAGTTGAGCCTCGGCAGTGACCAAGTAAAACTGCAGGTGATTTCAGAAAGCTAAGAAACACTACCAGAGCCCAGGGAGCAAAGAAGGCTGAAGGTCTCAAGCATTAAATGCAGCCACCAAGGATGGAGCAGGACTGACTGCACCACCTGGCACCTATGTTCCTTGGGCAAAGTCTATCTCCTTTCTGAGCCTCAGTTGCCCCTCAGTAAAATGGGGACATCACACTTCCTTAGCTTACCCTGAGTGTCTTTATAAAGCACCAAAGACAGGGTTTGCTGCAAGGTAGAGGAAAAATGTCCAACCCCTTAACTTTTTTTTTTTAATTTGTATTTATTTTATTATTATTTTCTTTTTTTTTTTGAGACAGAGTCTCACTTTGTTGCCGAGGCTAGAGTGAATGCCGTGGCATTAGCCTAGCTCACAGCAACCTCAGACTCCTGGGCTCAAGCAACCCTCCTGCCTCAGCCTCCCAAGTAGCTGGGACTACAGGCATGCGCCACCATGCCCAGCTAATTTTCTTCTATATATGTTAGTTGGCCAATTAATTTCTTTCTATTTTTAGTAGAGACGGGGTCTCGCTCTTGCTCAGGCTAGTCCCTTCCTTTTTTGATTGTATAAGTTTCAACATTACCTGCTATGTCATCAGAAATCGTTCACTCTTAAAACTTAAACTCAAGTTAAAACCAAGGAAACATGAGGAAACATCAAGGCTCACATCTCAGTACCACATGCCCTATTTCTAATTATGCTCTGCTACCAGCAGGGCAAGGGAAACGCAAATGTGGAAGCCTCTGACCTGCCAGAACCCCACCCCAAGGACAGAAAACAGCTGTAGGGTGCAGCCTAGCAGGTCCCTTTGCCTGTGCTGCATGGACCTCAGCCAGGCTGGACGGTGCCTGATGGGATAGTTCCTGCAAATGCCCAGCATCTCCCAGGCGCAATCTTCAACCGTACCTTAACCAGATTGGCAATGAACGCTGAGTACTTCAGGCCATGTTCCTGGGAAGCAGCTGTAATTCGATTAATCCAGAGCTGAAACAAGAAAACACTGAGATGCTTAAGAACAACTTCTGGATGTTACATCCATACCTTCCAGCAAAGGCTCCAACTGAACTAAAAGGTATTTTTGTAAAAATAAATAGAGGCTGGCGTGGTGGCTCATGCCTGTAGTCCCAGCACTTTGGGAAGCTGAGGTGGGATAGGTAGGAGGGAGGATGGCTTGAGGCCAAGAGTTGGAGGCTGCAATGAGCTACGATGACACCACTGTACTGCAACATGGGCAACAGAGTGAAACCCTGTCTCAAAAAAAAGAAAAGTTAAGCCGGGCACGGTGGCTCATGCCTGTAATCCTAGCTCTCTGGGAGGCTGAGGCGGGCAGATCCTTTGAGCTCAGGAGTTTGAAACCAGCCTGAGCAAGAGCAAGACCCCGTCTCTACTATAAATAGAAAGAAATTAATTGGCCAACTAATATATATAGAAAAAATTAGCCGGGCATGGTGGCTCATGCCTGTAGTCCCAGCTACTTGGGAGGCTGAGACAGAAGGATCGCTTGAGCCCAGGAGTTTGAGGTTGCTGTGAACTAGGCTGACGCCATGGCACTCACTCTAGCCTAGGCAACAAAGTGAGACTCCGTCTCAAAAAAAAAAAGAAAGAAAGAAAACTTAGTGTGTTCTACTCAGGCTTGCAGTACCATCAACAACAGCAAGCAAAGGTTGATGTTCTTGTGGGTTTTTTTGGAGACAGAGTCTCACTTTGTTGCCCACGCTACAGTGACTGCCGTGGTGTCAGCCTAGCTCACAGCAACCTCAAACTCCTGAGCTCAAGTGATCCTGCTGCCTCAGCCTCCCAAGTAGCTGGGACTACAGGCATGCGCCACCATGCCCGGCTAGTTTTTTCTATATATATTAGTTGGCCAATTAATTTCTTTCTATTTATAGTAGAGACGGGGTCTAGCTCTTGCTCAGGCTGGTTTCAAACTCCTGACCTTGAACGATCCGCCCGCCTCTGCCTCCCAGAGTGCTAGGATTACAGGCGTGAGCAGCCGCACCCAGCCAAAACGTTGATATTCTTCACCCGACACAAGTTTTATTTCTAAATGATAATACTCTATAAGGAATTAAAAATACAGGGATGAGCAAGAGCTTCTGTAGCAGAGGAAGCTCAGTCTAGAAAGGATCTTCATAGATAAATTATTAGAGCCACTGCGATGAGTGCTAAGAGAGGCAGGGACAACACACTCAGGGTGGAAGCTTCAGGGAGGTGAAAAGATGCGAGCAAAGAGCAGAGCTGATGGTCTGGAGGGTGGAAGGGTCCTCACAGATTTCAGGTCTGTTCCATGCCCAGCAAACACCTGAACACAGCAGCAGCAGCAAGTGAGACTAATGGGTAGGCATGGAAAAAACTGGAAGGATGAGTCAAAGTGATGCTTGGCTGGGACATGGTGCAATGGAAGTCTCTGAATGGATCTGCTCTGATATTTCATTTTTCTTTTAGAGATGAGGTCTCGCTGTCCCCCAAGCTGGAGTACAGCCTCCAACTCTGAGGCTCAAGGGATTCTCCCAGCTCAGCCTGCCAAGTAGCTGGGACTACATACAGGCAGGCACCACAACACCTAGCTGCACCTTTCTGACTCTAAAGGGTCAGATGAGCTTCTTACCACCTACCCCAACTTAATTCATTCAGCCAATACTTACAAAGCATTATTGACCTAGACCCTGGGTGACACCACTCAAAAGAATAAAGATTCTTCCTGAAGCTTACATTCTAATAGGGGGGAGGCAAACAGCAATAAACAACCAAACAAGTAAACTACAAGGTATGTTAGATACTAATTTCAGGAGAGTGGAGCTGGGTTGATGAGGTGTGCCTCTCTGAAGGTGGCAATTGGACAGAGCAGAGGGCCAAGCCATGCAGAAATCCGAAGGATTTCCAGGTAGAAGAAACCACAAGTGCAAAGAGCTTGTAAGGGAGCAGGACTGGTCTACAAGGAGCACCTCAGAAGCCAGGAGAGGCCCTGGTATGGCTGGGGCTCAGGGAGTGGTCAGGGTAACCAAGTTTGTGGTCAAGGTTTGACTTGTTACCATGGGAATTGGAAGCCACCACAGGCTTTTAAGCACAGGAAAGATGTGAATAGTAGGGACTCGGGTGGTGGCTGGCTATGCAACAACAGTGCCATCAAGGCCTTTGCAGTGGCCCAGTGAGCCATGTGGTCTGAGCTTGGGGTGGCAGTGGAGGGTGGGAGTGGAGGTCAAATCGTGGATATCCCACATTCTGTGTAGGGCAGACAGGATATGCTGGAGTTCTGAATGTGAGATGTGAAGGAAACAAATGAGGACGGTGGTGAGGTTTCTGACTCTGACCAACGGAAAGATAGAGAAGCCATCCGCTGAGATGAGGAAGGCCCCAGCGGCCTGGCTTTGGGCCTGCTAGCTTTGAAAGGGCTCTTGGGGTTGGGGCGGCTTGCAGCCCGGAGTCGCTGGAGGGGGGGCCCTCCGCGGTGCGCCTCCTCAGGGTCGGAGACCAGGCGGGGGCCTGCGGGGCGCGGGACTGCTGGGCTCCGGGGTCCACGCTTACTGTCCTCATGTTCCTCTTCTTCAGTCTCCGTGCTTTGGTGCATTTCACAAAGGCCCTAATCACGGCTCTGACCGCCAACCTGTAGCAGCGATTCTTCCTCCCGCGGAAATGCTGGGTTAAGAAACGGGAAACGAGGGCTGTCGGTGGGGTCCGCACGACCCACCCAGGCGTCCCGAGCACAGGCCGCGCGCGGGCAGTCGGCACTCACCCGGGCGTGCTTCAGCACCTCCTGGATCCGCCAGTAGCGGTCGGTTACGCGGTTCCGCAGCCAAAGCTGCGCGGTGAGGAAGACCATGGCGCGCGCGGGCCGGCGTGTCGGCTCCTCAACAACGCACAAACCGCGCCGCCGCCATGATACCCAGTGTGGAAGCAGCGGCCACGAGCGCTTCCGGGTCAGCGGCCGGCAGAAGACTTCCGGGCGCCGAGCGTGCGCTTGACGCCCCTCACCCCCCAGCCGCCGGGAGCTAGTCTTTGGTTCCGTAGGCGCTGCTAGGGTGCAGTCGCCTCATGGACTTCAGAGGGGTTAGGCGTGTGGTAGGTTGGATGTGGCGGAGGTGGAAGAATGAAAATAGAACCGGGGATACAGCTTGTAAAAGAAAATAATATTTCTGAACTCTCCAAGTGTATTATGCCAGGGGGAAGTTAAGCCCTGGAGACCGAGGCACAGAGCCTGATTCCGGGTGTGCTTGTTAGATGACAGCCGAACTCCTCATCACTGCTGTGAGGGGAATGACCAGACCTCCTCCCCACCGCCGCCGATCTTGGCTGTGGATTAACCGCTTCCTTTATTGTCCGCGGCTAACCCAGACCCCATGGCTTTTACATCTTCGGTGCACAATGTTAAATATACCTTTCCCGCAAGAAAAGGACCACCTCCACTAATCCGATCGTGGTAGCCATGCATTAGCCTTACCCAAAAAGATGCTGAAATTCTGTTACACTTCCCAGGCTTTGTCGATCAAGCAATCTCAAATCGCTACAGTTTGGAACGCTCAGTGCCATTCTTTGGAATCTGTGCTTTCCGGGCAGCCTGTCCTCAACCTCTGGGCTTGCCTAGATTCTCTTTAAACTAGATTCTGACCGTTTTGATTATTTTTAGGCTGACAAACCCAAATGTCCATCAGCAGATGAGTGGATAAATGCAATGTGGTATGTTGGCATGATAAAATAGTACTCAGTCGTGAAAAGGAATGAAGGACTGATTTCATGCTGTAGCATAGATGAGCTTCAAAAACAGTATGACAGGGGAAAATGGGCATTTATTGAAACCTTAAAACCTATACCCCCATAATATGCCAAAAAAAAAAAAAAACCAGTATGACAACAGGAGGGTCTAGAAGGCCATGCACTGTGTCAAAACGCCATGCACTATGATTCCATAGATATGAAATGGCCAAAACAGGCAAGTCCATAGACACATAAAGCAGATTGGCGGTTGCCAGAAGGGGGAATGGAAAGAGGCTGCTGCTGCTGAGTATGAGGTTTTCTCTGGGGTGATGGAAATGTTCTAGAACTAGATCATGGGGATAGTTGCACCTCGTTGTGAATGTGCTAAATGAGACTGAATTGTACACTTTAAAATGGTAAAGTTTATATTACATGCATTTTACCACAATTAAAAAATTAAATGGAGGCAAAGTGGGAGGTACGCAATATCTTATAACTTTTTACTTGGACACAATTTCAAATTACAGGCCAGGTGCAGTGGCTCACACCTGTAATCCCAGCACTCTGGGAGGCCGAGGCAGGAAGATCGCTTGAGGTCAGGAGTTCCAGACCAGCCTGAGCAAGAGTGAGACCCCATCTCTACTAAAAACATAGAAAGAAATTAACCAAACAACTAAAAATATATAGAAAAAATTAGCCAGGCATGGTGGTACATGCCTGTAGTCCCAGCTACCCAGGAGGCTGAGACAGGAGGATCACTTGAGCCTAGAGGTTTGAGGTTGCTTTGAGCTAGGCTGATGCCATGGCACTCTAGCCCAGGCAACAGAACAAGACTCTGTCTCAAAAAGTAAATAAATAAATAAAAAAATGATTTCAAATTAGAGAAAATATGCAAGACTAATAGAAGCAACTCCCCTAAAAGCTACACCAAAATGCACCCACTGTTTACATTCTGCTCTGTTTTATCATTCTAACACTCTTGACCCAAATTCACCGTTTACATTTTGCTCCATTCTTAAGTAATTTTTTTCTATAAATATTTATACACGTCTTTTTCTCTGAACCATTTGAGAGAAACTTGGAGATATCTTAATACTTTACTGTGTAACTCCTAAGAACAAGGACATTCTCTTACAAGCCACAGTACAATGATGAAAATGAGAAACTTTAACATTGGTACGATACTATATCTCTAGCCTACCATATTCAAATTTTGTCAAACATCACCTGTAGCTTTTTCCCCCTGTTTGGGATCCAGTCCAGGAGCATGCACTGCCATTGGTGGTCGTGGGTCGTGTCTGATCTTTAGTCTTTTTTTTTTTTTTTTTTTGAGACAGAGTCTCGCTTTGTTGCCAGGCTAGAGTGAGTGCTGTGGTGTCAGCCTAGCTCACAGCAACCTCAAACTCCTGGGCTCAAGCAATCCTACTGCCTCAGCCTCCCAAGTAGTTGGGCCTACAGGCATGCGCCACCATGCCCGGCTAGTTTTTTCTATATATATATATTAGTTGGCCAATTAATTTTCTTTCTATTTTTAGTAGAGGTAATGTCTCACTCTTGCTCAGGCTGGTTTCGAACTCCTGACCTTGAGTGATCCACCGCCTCAGCCTCCCAGAGTGCTAGGATTATAGGCATGAGCCACTGTGCCTGGCCTTTTTTCCTTTTTTTTAAGGCTAGTGAAGCGAAACAGTGGGAGTGGAGACAGAACCAGCTCATCTGTCACTGGCTGTGCTCAGTCAGCCATGAACACCACTGCACTCGGACCAACTTGAAAAAGAATCTTGTGCTGTAAATTTTGGTCCTAAATAAAATGACTGGTTATTGTTATTTTAAAAAGAAAAAGTACAGGACGAAGCAGAAAGTCTAAACATGTCATCAAAGGTCTATGCAGGGCCAGTCTTGGTGGCTCATGCCTGTAATCCTAGCACTCTGGGAGGCTGAGGGAGGCAGATTGCTCAAGGTCAGGAGTTCGAAACCAGCTTGAGCGAGACCTCATCTCTACTATGAATACAAAGAAATTAATTGGCCAACTAATATATATAGAAAAAATTAGCCGGGCATGGTGGCGCATGCCTATAGTCCCAGCTACTCGGGAGGCTGAGGCGGGAGGATTGCTTGAGCCCAGGAGTTTGAGGTTGCTGTGAGCTAGGCTGATGCCTCAGCACTCACTCTAGCCTGGCAACAAAGCGAGACTCTGTCTCAAAAACAAAAATTGAATTTTTGTTAATTTTTAGAGATTTTAAGAGAGCAGCATGAGGGTGGCAGGCATGGAAGCCCCGAGGCCAGGCAGACACATGGGCAGCAGGCAGTGAGCAGTGGCCCTGAGGGCACCTCCCACTCCCAGTGGGGGCCAGGCTACCTGCCCAGAGTCCAGGCAGGAGAAAGGGGCTGGCCTGGCCTTGCAGGCTGACTCAGGAGGCATCACAGCCCTGGGGATGCCCACCCGCCCCAGCTCCCTCCAGCCCCTCTGAAGCCCCCCTCACTCCCATGGGCAAAGTGCCCTGAAGGCCCTCCCCTGGCCTCTCCCCTCCTCCCTAGAGGGCAGCCCCGCCAGGCACCCAAAGGGAGGGTCTCCAGGCAAAGGGACCCCATCAACCTCCTGGTCTACATGATGCCACTTCCCCAGGGCACCCGGAGCTTGACACCGAAGCAGCTTCTCTCTCCTGCTGTTTTCTGTCCTTAGCACTTACCACTGCAGGAAAGTTTCTGTTTCATTTTATATGTCTGCCTTCCTCTTCTGGAGCGAAAGCTCCCCGAGGACACATGGCGCAGGCTGCACTGCAACGAGTTTGTCATTTCTGTGATCCTTGTCCCACAAGAGGACACTGACCTGTGGGGAGCCAGGCACCCTGTCACAGAGGCGCCGGGTCCACACTGCAGCGGTGCCCCAGGCCCTAGCCTCGGCCTCTCCCCAGCCTCCCCGGAGTGGGCGCCAGTGGACACAGGCAGGTTGTCAGCGCCCTGCACTGACTCCAGCGAGCCCAGAGCCCGGCACAGGGCAGCAGTCAGTGGAGCTTGCTGAATGAATAATAAATGTGGGGCTGAGCAGAGGGAGGGTGGGCTCAGATCACAGATGCTTTTCAACTTTGTTTTACCCCCAACTCACTATCTGAATAAACAAACAGCCACCTTAAGACCTTGTTAGCAGAGGAAACAACTGAATTGTCTGCAAGCTGGGCAACAGGCCAGGCCTGGGCACCAGAGGAGACTCCCAATCCCCACAGGGCACAGGGGGTGTCACAGCTGAGCACTGCTGTTGTCCCCGTTCACAGCTGGGGGACTGGAGAGGCCTGGAAAAGTGTGAAAGGAAAAGTTGGAAAGGACAAAGATGACTTCAGGGAAGCCACAGGGAAACCCAAACAACCTACTCTTTTTTTTGAGACAGAGTCTCACTTTGTTGCCCGGGCTAGAGTGCCATAGCGTCAGCCTAGCTCACAGCCACCTCAAACTCCACACACATCCACAACAGTACACACCACAGCATCTGACACTGACACTTCCTATCTGATTTTCCGCGGTGGCGGGCACACAACACACACAGCAACACAACAACACAACGAATGAGCGCCTCACACACAACCGCAAACACAGGTGATACACACATACATCAACACACACTAGATAAAGAGCACAGGACAACAACACACCAAAGACACAGGAACAGACAACACCCTCGGACACACAAAAACATACAGATGGGCAGCCCAAGATCCGCGTGAAAGTGAGAGTCACCTGTGCGAGGGACTGGGCCTGGGGAGCGGGGCCGGCCGGAGGGAGGGCCCCAGCGCTGCATGGGACAGCCCTTGCTGTCGGGAAGCCTGGCCAGAGGTCTAGGACACACGAGTGGGTCGGGGAACTGGCCAGGCTGAGCTGCAGTTTCGGCCTGGCAGAGGGAAGGGCCCCAGCCTGGCAGCCGCGGGGGAAACTGAGGCAGGAGTGTGGCCTTGGAGACAGTCAGGGCTGCGCCTACCTGGGCCGGAGTCCACTATCTGGTTGCTGGCATCCAGATGGGGTCCAAGCCAGGGAGAGCTTAAGGTGCTCTGGTCTGACCCCCCACGGCTGGCCCGGACATGAGCGAGCAGGAGACGGAGACAGAGGAGGATGAGGGAGGGGGTGCCTCGGACACAGCACCCATGCTGCCCCGAAGGCCTCGCGACCACCGGGCCACAGCCCTGAGGCCGGGGTGGCAGGCCCGGGCTGCCCCACAGAGGCCCCTCCGGCCCCTGGCTGTGCCTGGCGG